GACGTAGAAAATTGAAAAAAAATAGTGTAAAAAGTAAAAAATAATATAAATAGCACGAGCTTTTTCAAAGGGAAAGAGAGCAAAACGTAAACACTAGCTTAAACTATTTGAAAGAGTGGACCTAAACGTGATACCGAAGTCCACGCTTTTTCTCCCGTTTCCCGCGAAAATCTCAACGGTCTAAAAATAACGAAACCCTTTCTTCCGAATCTGCGTCCTTTCTCTCTCCCACCCTCTCACCTCCATGCCATTGTACGGATTTCTCCATCTCTCCCTCTCTCTCTCTCTCTCTCCCCATCAAATCACATCATCAATTGATCAAGGTTATGAAAATTTGAATTCCAGAAATTCTCTCTTTAAGTTTTCGCAAACAATTTTCGATCTTCGTGTGCGTGTGGACGTGGAGATCAGTACCACGAGGTTCCACACCGCGGAATCCGAGTTTAACCCCGGAGTCCGCCATGGAAGATGAATAGAATAATCCCCACGCCGGCCGCTAAATTCCGCCCCCTCTACACCGACCCTAACTCCGCCGACGTCTCCTCCTCCGCCGTGCCGGACGAACAGAACCCGCTCACAATCCTATGGAACCACCAAATCCTCGACCCCGACAGCGATATCGTAGCGCATTGGAACCACATCTTCCTCGTCATCTGCATTCTGGCCCTCTTCGTCGACCCCCTCTATTTCTACCTCCCTTGGGTCGGCGACACAGCTTGCTTGACCACCGACAACCAGCTCGCCGTCGTCGTCACCTGCTTCCGCACCCTCACCGACCTCTTCTACCTCCTCCACATGATCATCAAGTTCCGCACCGCCTATGTCAATCCCAGCACTAGGGTTTTCGGCCGCGGTGACCTCGTCACGGACCCCCACCTGATTGCCATCCGCTACTTGAAGTCCGACTTCATTGTCGATCTTGCCGCTACCCTTCCGGTCCCCCAGGCATGGCATTCAAACTTTGATTTTATTATAAGTAATTAGTTTGTAATACTTTTCATGTCATTGAATTGAATTGGATAACTCGCTAGATTCAAAGTACGTTGAAGGAAGTAATGGAGCCGAGCTTCCCAATTTTGTACAAGTTGAGGTAGAGGATGAATTGGTTACGAAAGAAATTGATAATTGAAGTAGAGGACAAAATATGGAAGTTGGCTTCATTTGAATGATTCGTCTTATATGATCGAATTCTAGCCAAATTTTGGAAGTTAGGGCTCGTTTAGGAGTTGATTCTGCACTTTAAACACAGGAGGGTTGTTTCTCCATAAAATCAATTTCGCGATTTCTAAAGTGATTTACGGAGAAGCATATGAGAGAGGTGCTTAGTGATTCTGGCCTTCTTAGAAATGGGATTCATTTATGAGAAGCCACAGGAGAGGTACTTCAACATTGCCTCCCGATATCCTATCCAATCATAGCCACCAAACACGGGCGATTTTAATTTGTGTTTTCCTTTGATTGCTTGCAAGAATCATGTTTCCAGTTGACACCGATAAATTAGTTTGGAATGATTCTCCACAAAGCGTAGTAGAGTATTGCTTTTGAGGATTTTGTAAACAAAAGTTTGCTTTGCTTGACTTGTTGCGCAGCTTGTAATCTGGTTGGTGATTCCAGCAACGAGGAACTCGAGAGCTGATCATGCCAACAACACTCTGGCACTGTTCGTTTTGATTCAGTACATTCCTCGGATCTTCCTCATCTTCCCGTTGAATCAACGTATCATAAAGACAACTGGTGTCGTAGCAAAGACTGCATGGGCGGGAGCTGCGTACAATCTCCTCCTCTTCGTTCTAGCCGGCCATGTAAGCAACAAAGCAATCATCCATTAATTATTTACTTTTGATAAACTCATCGATTCAGCTAATTACTTTGGTTAAGTTAATTGAACACTAATTCCCTTTGCTGTTATAGATAGTTGGTTCTGTCTGGTATATATCGTCCATAGGGCGGCAGTTCTCTTGCTGGAAATCCTATTGTAAAGAGGAGAACTCGAAAAGGATTGTTTCTTGCCTCACAAGTTTTCTAGATTGTAGTAGTACAGAACTACCAGAACGGAAGTACTGGGTCAACGTCACCGAAGTTGTTAAAAGTTGTGATGCAAATAATGAGAAAGCCAAATTTAAGTTTGGAATTTTTGGGGATGCTTTCAAGAGTGATGTTGCTACTACAAAGGACTTCTATCCAAAGTACCTGTATTGTTTGTGGTGGGGTTTAAGAAACTTAAGGTATCATTCTAATTACATGTTATAAGTCTGTAACTGCTATGTTACGCGAATCTTTGCTATCCATTCGTTTTCTGTGGAGAAATCTAAGCTGCATCTGTATTCACTTCTGACCATGTTTGATTACTGAATCGATTTTGAAATTTGTATTCTTGCAAAATAGTTTGACAAATGATTTTCTCAACCAATGCTCTATAATTTGCCATAGAACTAAATATACAGATACGTAACATATACATCGAGTTCCACGATCTAGTTGATCATGATTAATTGCTTTAGGAACAAGTACATATAGGTGTGCACACATGAATGATGCACCTATACAATAATTATTGGCAATACACACACATTCGTGGTCTGTGGAGAAACCATCTCTCTCTTTTTCGGTTATTCCTGTCAAGAAAGAATCGATGAATGCCTGCTTTCAAGTGTTTTATGATAGTATTTTTAAGTACTCTACCGCTGGTAGTTCTGATACGGTCCTTTCTCTTTGTAGTTCATATGGGCAGACTCTGAAGACGAGCACGTACTTTTGGGAGATAATGTTTTCCATTACACTATGTCTCACTGGTCTAATTCTGTTCTCATTATTGATTGGCAACATGCAGGTATTGTCTGAGTTTTTATCTTTCAGCACCAGTACTATTTATGTAGTTATATGTTCATCTTGTCAGGGTTGAAGTTATATAGATCAACTGCGATTTGATGAAAGGTGTTTGCAAATACTGATGCTGTCTAACTGATACTTGATTTCCCCTTGTTTCAGACTTATCTGCAATCAATGTCGATAAAATTCGAAGAATGGAGGATTAAGCTAAAAGATACTGAGGAGTGGATGAGGCATCGGCAGTTACCTGAGGATTTGCGCGAACGTGTTCGTAGATTTATGCAGTACAAATGGTTTGCCACAAGAGGAGTTGATGAAGAATCCATATTGCGGTCATTACCTTTAGACCTCTGCCATGAAATCCAGCGGCACTTATGCCTTTCGCTTGTTCGTCGTGTAAGTCTCTGTCATGAAACCCAAAACCCTATCATTGGATCAATGGATTATGTATGCAACTAAAGCAGTTGAATTTTCACGAATGGAGGTATTCCTACTTTGATAAATCCGATTCTGTTATTTTTCAGGTTCCTTTTTTTTCACAAATGGATGATCAGCTTCTCGATGCCATATGCGAACGTCTTGTCTCATCCTTGAGTATCCAAGGCACACATATAGTTCAAGAGGGTGATCCAGTAAATGAGATGTTGTTTATCATTCGAGGGAAACTCGAGAGCTCCACAACCAATGGAGGGAGGTCCGGGTTCTTTAACTCCATCACTCTTGGACCTGGTGACTTCTGCGGCGAGGAACTGCTGACATGGGCCTTGATGCCAAGCTCTAGTCTCAACTTGCCTTCTTCCACGCGGACAGTCAGAGCTCTTACCGAAGTTGAAGCTTTTGCACTTCGAGCAGAGGACCTTAAATTCGTTGCTGGGCAATTCAAACGCCTTCACAGCAAGAAACTACAGCATGCCTTTAGGTACTATTCCCACCAATGGAGGACATGGGGTTCTTGCTTTATCCAAGCCGCTTGGAGAAGGTTTAAGAAGCGAAAGATGACGAGGGACTTGGCTATGCAGGAGAGCTTGTACTATATGCAAAATCCAGGCCAAGAGGAAGACGGTTACTACTACTATGACGAAGAACAAGCAGGTGGAAATTATGAGGGTGATGCGAGTGGTGAGAGATCAGGAGAGAATGCAAGCAATTTGGGCCAAGGCCAACATCTTGGGGTCACATTTCTCGCTTCCAAGTTTGCTGCAACTACAAGGCGAGGAATTGCGCAGAAAGCTCAGGTGGTTGAAGCTGCTTCTCCCAGTTTGGACATGCCTCGGTTGTTAAAGCCAGATGAACCTGATTTCTCTGCAGATTGAGACAATATACGAAAATGAATGATCAGGGAACAGGAAAACGATCTAACGAAATAATAGTTAGGAACAAAAATTTGTTACAATGATGTAAATTTATACTGCAGGTAGATTAGCAATGACCATCAGTTTTCTAGTTCTATAATGTTAAATTATTCGCTCTTATATATCGGTATAATGACCTGTAATAGATGAAATATATTAACCACTGTTCTCCCAGATTCTAGCTTATGGTATTTGAATTTAGTAGCTAAAATTAAGTTCCAACATAAAGTGCGAAACAAGCGTGCTGTGACGCTCTTGCCTTGTGGCCATTTTGGACTTAATATTCGGAATTCCATCAAGGTTGTAATGCATTATGCAGAAGGTGCAGGTTAACCACAATGGGATCTTTCATGCTTGAAAGTGCGAAGCATTTGGCTTTTACGAGCACACTGGATGAGTGCGCACAAGAGGACTGCGAATTTACAGCTTCAGTAACTATTTGCAGGTGAAGGATGCTGCCTACTACTCCGGAAAGAGACCAGCAAGTTCGATCATAATTTCGTAGTACCTCTGAATTTCCGTATCCATATTGTACAGTTGAGCATGGAAATACTTGTGTATCTGTAAGTTCTATGACCTTCTACTATTTCATAATTCCAAATTTTGTCATTTTAGTTTACCAACCCCTGCATTTAGAATGCTGGTTTTAAACTCACGCACACGTCCGCACGCGAATTTGATGCAGAATCACAAATGCATTTGTATTCTGAGTTTTACCTAATAGTATTGACGTATTGTTACAAAAGTAAAATTGAACTATGAACACTAAAAAAGTATTCTCATAACAATTTACAAAAGTAAATTTGTATTCTCTTTCTGTTTCTATTTCTGTTTCGTGGATTTAAACTTTCAATACGAGAAGCTAGCATCTGGTGAATCTTCAGGAGTAGAGGCCTTTACATGCGTTGATATGTCATGCGCCTCTTGTAGTCTCACAACAATTTGCTGCATTGACGGTCTTTGTTGTTTGAGTGCTGTGCATGAGAGAGCCAGCTGAAGCGTTAGATCAAACGCTTCTTCTGAGTATTCCCCGTCAAGTTTAGGATCGGCGAATTCATTGATGCTGCCATCTCGGTTGAGGACCTTTGCCTAGCAAGTAGAAAGAACAGATTGAATCAATGCCGGAAAACTTATGTAATCAATTTGAAAGAAAAAAAAAGTGGGAGGAAATGGTTATTTTCCGACCTGTTTATTTAATGGCATTGGAGTGTTCAGATTCATGTTGATAACCTTCTTCCCCGATAGGATCTGCAGAAGTACGATTCCAAAGCTGTAGACATCTCCTGATGAATTTACGTGGTTGTTGATCCTATAGTCTGGGTCAACGTACCCGAAAGTTCCTCTCACTTCTGAACTGACATAGGTTTCTCCCAGCTCAATAATCTTGGAGAGTCCAAAGTCTGATAGCTTTGCTTCAAAATTCTCCCCAAGGAGAATGTTTGTTGGCTGCAACAGGAAAGAATACATAATCTTAGAGAGTCCAACTTTCTCATTCATTTAGGGTGACACTGTTCAGTTAAATCCACTTACCTTGATATCGCGATGGACGATGCAGCCTTCTGGATACGTGTGGAGGAACGATAGACCTCGAGCGCTATCAATTGCAATCTCAAGCCTGTGGATCCAGGACAGGTTCCTATCTTTCCCTGTTGTTTAGTTACCACATTAATTTATTAACCTACACAAAAACTTCAGTTTTGAAAAGCTAAAAAATTTCATGTCAAGGCAAAAGAATACCGAAAATCCATTCTGAGAGGTTTCCGTTGGGACAAAGCTCATAGACAAGGAAGCATTCATCTTCGTTTGCACAATAACCTAGCAAGGTAACAAGGTTCGGGTGTCTGATGTGCGATAAGCTCGTAACTTCTCGGGCAAATGTCTCCACATTTCCGTCATTGATAATGTGCTTAACTGCTACACGTTGATTGTTTGATAGTATGCCTTTATACACCTTTCCTGTTATATTATGAGCAAAAAATACAAAAATTATAAATCATCAGATTATACGATATCTAAGTTGGTTTTGCATCATCTTTTATTTAGATTCTTACCAGCAGTTCCTTCGCCGATGAAATTTGTTGGGTTTAGATTGTCAGTAGCAGAATACACTTCCTTGATAGGAATTTTTGGACAGCCTGAGTCCTCGAAAATCGCTTCCTTAAATGCTGCTGTTTACGTACAAATCAGGCTTAATTAGTATGCACCATATGCTAATTGCAGCTTAGATTTGGTGTTGATGTAGCTGTGAAAAAAAGTGTCAGGCATACCGGATTCTTTGGGTGGTGGCGGAGTTGATTTGGTACGTTTCTTTGACAAAATGCAGGCGGCCAGTACTACAAAAACAAAGGCAACCACGACACCTCCTCCAATCATAATCCATAGACCTAGTTCCATCAAGTATCGTAATTGTTAGTGAAAGAACCCGATTTTCAGTTTTGGAAATGCAAGTTATTGATTCGGTGATAGAAGAAGCCTCACCTTTACTGAATTTCCTATGACCCTTTGGTTCATTTTCTGCAAGGAGAAAAACATCATTTACAAACAACTTTTAATGAATCAATATACGCGCATCTTGAGAAGTTTCATCAGGCTACATACCAGCGAAGCCTTCTTGTGACCCAAGGCAACTATAAACTGCAAGAAGATGCCCTTTATCTTCAAGTTTAATGCTTGTATACGACACCAGCACTGCGAACCTGCAAACATTAGTTTGAAACTCCAAAGATTCTGCATCCCGGGACGATGAATGCAATGGTCCTATGTCTTCCCAACTCTTCACACAAGAACCGCACAGCTGCCCGTTTTTTCCATCAGAAAACCGGAATCCACACTGGCTCTCCAAACCTTTCAACTTGTCGCCCAATCTATTCCTAACTTCAGCGACAGACAAGTCAGAGCAGCCACCGGCACCACTTGTCAACTTCTCAATCCCACAGCCGAAAACATCCTTCTGCAAATTTTTCATGGAAGCCAAGCAAACCCCCTGCTCGGCAGAGTCGAGGTATATCAACCCTGTTTGATTCGCGCGCTGCCCCAACGCGTAGAGGTAGTCATTGAACGCTGATGCGCAGCAGTCTTTGTGCAGAAACCCTCCCCAGTCCCCTTCTTCGCAAGTTGAATTTGGAGACGGGGATGATCCCAAATCAAAATGAAGGCTGCAGTTCGACTCAGAGGGCATAGCAGCTGCAAAGCCAGCGGTGGTGATCAGTATGAAGATTGTAGCATAAACAAAAACTTGTTTCGCCATTTTCGGACCAGGGAGAAACGATGAGAGAGAGAGAGAGAGAGAGAGAGAGAGAGATGAGGTCTAATGTGAAGACAGTTGAAAGGGTTTGGATGCATCGCTTGTTTGAATCAAAAGAGGAATATTTGGAGGGTTTTGCTGCCGGCCTAAAGTCCAATGCAAGCAAAGCTGAATCGAAATCGAGATGTTTGGCGGGTAGTTTAACGACGGAAAACGTCGCTGTTTGATTCCTTCTGTGTTTTTGGCTCTCTCTCACTCTGTTGATGAAAACTTCTGAAGCGTACAAGGCAGACGGAAACTGACGGCCGTTGTGACAGTTAGTGACAGTTACTGGTGGTGAAAAAGGGTAAGATTACGAATGAGGATATTCAATGTAAACTAGGAGTAGCCGAAATTGAAGGAAAGATGAGAGAAAATCGGTTACGGTGGTTTGGAGACTTTGGAAGAGACTATAAGAAAAAACTTACTTGTATCTAACGGAAGACGTGTTATAGAACCGATCACAATGATGTTCTAGGATTTATATAGTTAATCCCACTTAATGGGAAAAACCTTTGTTGTTGTTGTCTATAAGAAGTATTCAAATCAACGCTTATCATTGCCATTATCTACTACTAGCTTCTCTGCACCTGTTGATGCGTGCACGAGAAGTTCTTTTTAATCATGTGCGTTACGGGCTACTTACAGATTTTTAACCAAATGTGTTAGGTGCGACTAACAAATTTCTATTTTGTTGTCGATATTCAGATTTGCCTAGATATTTGATTACAGATCCCCACGGTGCGGGGTTGCTAAACCATATCCTCTCTATCGGTGTGGATCCCCACATATGTGGGGATTTTTGCCATCTCTAAATTAGATAATTACAGGGTATATTTACCTATAAGAAATAAGAATTAGAATTATTTTTATTCTTGAATTTTATGCATTTACTAATATATGGATAAAAGAATTATTTTACTACTTAACCTTTTCTTACATTTATTTACATGTAAGAAATTAAAAAAAAAGTGCACGTTTCCTCTTAAAAATTCGTAATCAAATTAAAAAAATAAGAAATCAGATCGGATACTAATTGTTTCTTACACACATTTTGTTAATTTATATCCGTTAATTTTTTTCAATTCATCTTATCCAACGGTTAAAAATTAGAAAAATTGGTGAAAAATAAAATAGAATAGGCGAATATCACACCCCGTCAAAGATATTTGGGAAAAGTATATAAAACGAAAAAGGAAAAAGAGGGAAAAGCACGAGGCAATAAATCAGTCCTTGAGTTAGAAGAACAAGAAATCTCTGAAGCCTGGATCGCCGTTGACCAGTTACTAGTAATTCCCTCTCTCTCTCACGTTAGGTAAGGGTTCTGAAAGAGATCAGTGAATTCAATTTACGGTTTTGCGATAATCTAACTCAAAAGTTTGCATCTTGATAAAGTTCAATGATTTGGTTCTGAATCTGAGCTTGGTTATTGGTTAATTGATTGCAGATTTGTGAGCTCTGTCAAATGGAGAAGGATCAGAAGGTTGCATCGGAAGAAGACCCCAAGATCGATCTGTTCGAAGACGACGACGAGTTCGAGGAATTCAACATCAATGAAGGTAATTTTTGGAACCCTAATTTTGTTTATTATCTATAGTTATATATATATATATATATTTTTTTTTTTTTTTTTTTAGTAGTTAATAGGTATGCAGCTATTTGTTCTGTAATTGTTTCCAATTACTTCATAGAATTGATAAATTGAAGTGGGTTTTGTTTCGATTTACTTCTTGCTATTATTTTTAAACTAATAAGATCGTCCTGCTACTTTTACTTGCGAAACTGATTCGTTGTGAGGAGCGTGTAATTCGTATATCCTAGCATTATCTTAGCATACAGTCCATCTAGTCTGGTCTTTGAAGATATTGATGATTGCGAAATAAGTGCGAGAGGAACCTCCTGATTTCGTGTTGTTATCTTCGATTGTTGTATGAAATATCCAAGCTTGTAAATTGATTTTGGCATCAGAGCACCAATGCCCCGCGATGCTGCGAAGGAGGTTACTTGTTGAGGCAGATAGCATTATGGCATTGATTCTTTGTGCTAAACAGGATATTTGGTTTCGTTTTAGGATGCTGCGGCGGCATCTATGTTTTGTATTTTGTAATTGAGGCAGCCTTCGGTGGATATTATTTTCAGGATATGAAACAGCGGTTTGAGAAATAACGAGGTTTGAACTTGGATGCACAACACGATGAAGTCATACAAAGCTGCTTTTAGTTCTAAACTATGACTACAGATGTGTTTGGTGGAATACATTCTTCCATTTAGGCTTCGCCTTTTCGTTTTAATGAACTTTGCGTTTATGAAAGTTATTAAGTTGAACGGGATATACACTATGGGTTTTCTCCCTTAGTTACTGATAGGATAAAGCATTATCTTAAATTTTTGTAATTTCTTTTCGTTATTGACTTGGCTCCTGTGTTTATGCGGGCAGAGTGGGATGAGAAGGAAGAAGAGATAGATTCAACACCACAACAATGGGAGGATGATTGGGATGATGATGATGTCAACGATGATTTCTCTCTGCAGCTGAAGACGGAACTCGAGAGCAACGCTGAGAAGAGCTAAGTTCATGTCTCTTTGGCTTCCTTCCTAATGAACTTCATGATCGTAGTGATTCGGTATAACCTAGTATGCCTGTGATTTGGTGGGTAGCCAAGCCCTTTCATTAGAGTATCGAAAACTGCAGTATTTACCGTTCTTGTTAAAAGATAATCGACTTGCAAGATTTCAGTAACTCGTTATGTTCGGAATCATGAAGAGTGATGAGCACCACTTAACTATATTCTTCTCGCGATTATCGTTCTGTATTTGAATGTGGTCTGTTTCTTCCCTTTGAAGTTTATGTATGAGTCAGTAGTTAAGAAATTTATAGGCTTCGACGTCTAACGTGTTCTAGGACGAAGCTTCTAACTGTATGCATCACTTTCATGGCTATCTCTGCAGCCCCAGATCCCCTTCTTCCTCTTCTATTTCTCCATCTACGCCGTCGACTATCTCACTGTTCGTCAGCTCAGTCTCGTTCTGTAATGCCCTCCCATCTTCCCCCTAATCTTCAAACCCATGCGATAGCTATGACCTTCTTCCCCGATTTTTCCTTTTTCCGCATACAATACCATGTCGCCCATTTTCAGTAGTTATCAATAGTTACAAACACATCCCGACGTTCGTAATATGCCAATCAATTTTGTATGGAGTTGTATTTGCATCCAAAAAAAAAAAAAAGAAATCACTCATCGTCCACGCATATGGCACAAAGTGTGAAATTTTTTGATTTTTTGTTTTTGAAATAGAATGAGAGAGGAAGAGGGTGATATGGAATGTGGGAGTTGGAAGTTTTTTATTTTTTTATTTTTTTTTAAGATATGTTAGGATTACATGTAGGTGATGCTTTGAAGAAAAAAAAAACAGCAAAATTTGGTTGTGTGAAATTATATTTTTGCCCATATTTCTTAAGGAAAACTAATGAAAAAAGCTTGAAAACTTTGAGTTTTAATGATAAGGACAAAATAAAAGGTAAAATGAATAGTACCAAGATTGAATTTTTAGTGTGAAAATGTGGTTTTTCGTTAAAATGAACAGTACCGCATGTGCTTTTTGTTAAAGTTCCCTTCCTCTTATTCATGTTCTGTTTTAGTTAGAGGGTTAAACTGGTAATTTCATTAAGTTTTGGTTGACAATAAGTGTTTTATTAATTGTAGAGATTAGTAGAGATAATGGAAAAAAGATGGAAACTGTTATTAGCACTCCAAAACTCACATTCTACACTCCTCACAAGTGTATTTTCTTTCTAATTATTGAAAATTTAGGGTGCAAAATGAGATTTTTGGAATGGTAATAACAATTCGTAAAAAAATTACTATTTTGAAGTACTAGTAATGCAGTGCAATCCACCATGGGTATCCAAGTTTGAGTTTCCCTCTCCATCTTTTAGGTGAATTTTAGTATAATTAGTATATTAGTAACATTTTCCGAGGCAAAGGAGTGGAGGATAAAATTTATGATAATAATAGCGCACTTATCACAGGGGCTATGTTTAGACGTTAAAATGAAAAAAACCATTCTCCAACCAAAGACGGCCTTGGGCTACAAGAACAAAGCTCTATGTAGCCCAAGGGCTGGACACGAGTAGCCAGCTCTTCAGCCGCTGGCTTGGTTCATCTTCTTCCATCATTTGGTGTTCGCGCTCCTCCAGTTCGGAATCCAAATTAGAACTGGAAGCGCAATTGAAATTCATCGTAGAATTGTTTTGACACATGTTTGAATGGATTGTAGGAAATGTCTGAACGATGAGTGGAAACGTTTGAACACGAGAG